GTGCTGTACCTCGTGCATGGCGTCCATGATTTTGGTCAGATGGTAGAATCTCTGGGAGCTGGCCACCACTCCTTTCTCCTTCAGCTGGATGGCTTTCGTCAACTCACAGATGTAGTTCTGTCTCATTTCATCAAAGTGTGTTTGACTCTTCAAGCCTTCCAGAGGAACTGTCACAAATACATCATATTAAATCATTACCAATACACCACTGCCAAAGGTCATGTTAGAGTTTACCACAGCATTAGTGTTACAGATAAATTAAATGTTCCTTCTATAAATCACTGATGAGATATCTCCGTAAACCGTAAAAAAATGTCTTCACTGACAGCGTCCTACATTGCCAGTTTTACAGAATGAGGTTTACCATCTAAACACATCTTTGATATTACTTTTTAACTTAGTTACACAGTTACTTATATTGTCGACTGAAACATTCTATCAGTAAAATAATGTTGTAGTCAGCTCAATTGGAAGGCTGCATTGGCATTACTGTTGTTCTAATTTGAAAAATGTTAGTTGGACTTAGTTGGACTTTTCAAGGCCTCGCAGTTTGCCAAATACGTATCTCTGTCAATCCATGCAGATTGGCATGGGGCCATTGGTTTAAAATTGTCCAGATTGTTAATATCCCATTCTGGAACACCGGTCTGACCTGTAGAGGGTCAGTCGCTAAGAGTTGTATGGGTTAGAGAGGATTTATTACCAGTGTTGAGGAGCATCAAAGCCTTCATGCACAGAAACTCTTCTTTGGTCACTTGCAAGTTGGCAAATTCCTGTGGAACAAACTGCATAGCCAAGCACAAGTCGTAGATCGGAGACCTCCTCATCTGATCTCTAAAATTTAAACAGCACTATGAGAATACTGAGAATATGCATATCTAAATGTCTGTTGTTTACTGCACAATATATAAAACTGTTAATTGAATGTAGCTATTAGGATTCTAATTGCCAGGCACTTTCCAGAAATAGAGTACAAAATAGGTAAAGATACATAAAGCCCTGATTTACTCACAG